GGCCTCCCCTCCAGCTGTCGGGGGTTTTGCTGGCGACCTTTGGCGTTCCTTGGCTTGTAGATGCATCAGCTCCGTGTCTGCTTTCATAGTCACGTGGCCTTCCCTCTGTGCGTGTCTGTCTCTGTGTCCAAATGTCTCCTTTGTATAAGGACACCGGTCACGTTGGATTAGGACCCGCCCTAATGACTTCCTTTAAACTTGGTTAACTGTGTAAAGACCTTATCCCCGAATAAGGTCACATTCTGAAGTCCTGGAGGTTAGGACTTCAATATATGCATTTTGGGGGACACGATTCAACCCAGAACATTCATGCATGGAATTTGCAGCATCTGAGTTGTGGAGAAATGGCAGAGTTGAGGAATTTGGAAAGTTTCATAGAGATGATGATGATGATGATGATGATGATGATGATGATGATGATGGTGAGGATAGTAATAGTAATCTTAAAAGGCAAGGAAGAACTGTATGTTTTAAGTCCCTACATTGGATGGGCAGGGTTCTAAGTTCTTCCTATGTACACGCTCATGTAATTCTCACAGAAGCCGTAATCTGGTGGTGTGTAGCAGTTTTCACCTATTTGAAAGACAAGTGCGCTGAAGCATTGTGTCTTAAGTGACTTCTCCATCATCACACAGCCAGGAAGAGGCAGATCCAGGAGGAGAGCCCAGGAGGTCTGGCCCCGAGTCTTCCCGTTGAGCACGTCACTCTACAGCACGCATTTGGTGTCTTCCACCTTGTTGTTTTCTGTTACAACTCAGATACTCATTCCTTAACAGCTCACCTCCCAGAAGACCCTGGGCACCCTTCTACTCCATACCCGCCAAACACACACGTGTGTTGCCCACGAGAGACAAGGGTTGACAGTAGGTCTGTAACCCTCCATCCCCAACCTGGGAACACCTGGTGAAACAGAAAAAGAAGAGAGAGAATACGAGGAAGAGAGGGAGGGAGGGAGGAAGAATCCAGGCAAATGTCTTTGTCAGCACGCCAGGGTGGCAATGTCATGGTGTCCTGATGGTGTCTCCTGGAGCAACGATAAAGAAGTGCCCCTGTATATGCGACGTTCTCGGTGGGGTATCATGGTTTGTCTAGACGGTTAAGGCAAACCAGCCTGGAGTTTACAGATTTAAGGGCATAGGACATCTCGCTGTCAGCTCCATGGTTACTGAAGCAGAAAACGGAGATGGCGCATGACTGAATCGCTCTGTTTCAGTGAGGGACGTGCCGCACCCACCTTCCATTCCTTAGAGACCTTACGTGTTAATCTGGGCCAGTGCATGCCCTAAGGTCGTCAGGAAGACCCTGAGGAGCTGCACTGGGGTCTCCGACTTCTCCTCACTGCACCTGTGCACCCCGCCACCTGTACCTTTGAGTTATTAGGAGAACTTGACACAGGGCAAGATCTCTAACTCTTGTAAGGCTGATGTGACAATCAAACCACTGGGGTCATCCTGAGACTAATTGTTTCCTTGGATTTATATAACCTGTGCAGTTAAAAAAAATTAATCAGGTGATGAGACAGAGCAGGAGAAAGAAGTGGGCAGAAGGGGGGACAGTGTACTTCCCAGCCCAGGTGTGGAGAAAAGGATGTCTCTCTTAGAACCTAATAAGTGATGTTAATTTTTTCATCTGGTCAACAAATATTCACGAATCATCGAAATGCCAATCACTGTCTTGTAAAAAAGATAAATAAGTTTTTTACCTTAGAGTTTAAAGTGGTCTCAGTGGAGAAACTGTCAGGAAGGTGAAGTATGTCCCCCTTGCCTGATCAGACATTTTCTCCAGGGCGAATGCCTGGAAGGCTCCCTGAGCCTGATATTTGCTCAGTCTGGTTTGGGGTGAGGTGGCCCTTCCCGTTCACTCTAAGCAGCTGTTTCTTCTCGTTTCCAACACTGCTCTCTCTACTCTGGTCGTGAATGGCGTTCATGCCTTCTTCTAATTTTAGATATTGATAAATCATAAGAGAAAAAATGTGGGTGTGAATTTCAATCTTTAACCAGTCTCCCTTTTGAGATAACTTTGGAAATTAATTAGTAAATTTGATTAATGAGTATTAAGTGTATTAAACAATCAACTAGATTACTTATCAGATATGGTACAGAATAGCAGCCTAAGAGTTGAAGCTTATCATTTTAAATTTACTAGAAATTGTAATTCTTCGTTATGTGGATTATCAACATTCACAGAATGAGATCATAATCAAAATTCCAATGAAAATGGACAGAATTGACTTAAGACAATAATTCCGTGGTAAAGATTTGTTGATAAATGAGTCCTGGTTCATTCAGTGCTGCCGCTGCAGAGACTAGGATGGAGCAGAGAAAACCCCATAACTACAGTTTGCTGTCAGGGCACCAGGTGCTGTGTAGACCGCAGGGCCAAGTACATCCCCTAAGCTGTCACCCCCTAGAGGGGACGCCAGGTGCACAGACAGGAGCTGGGCAGGCTGGGCTCCACAGCGGTGCTCAGACGGTTTTCTGTGCAGATGCCAGAGCACCCAGTGCTGGCCTCACACAAGCCCAGCCTGAGCCGAGTGCTGGGAACACGGCCTCAAATGTGGGTCTGCGATTGTCAACAACAGAGGACGAGCAGAAGCCCAGATGCTCACACACGGCCACCCCGTAGGGACGCCAGTCAACACAAAACTGTCTCTAAGCACGAGGCCATCTGCAAGAGGTTTTCATTTGGTAAAACGGGAAATCAAATTACATGTGGAATTCTTAAATAACAAGGCATCGGTTCAATGGAATGAAGAGGATGTAACAAATAAATGGTAATAAACAAGGTCATAAAGAAATGGTTCCTGCCTTTATACTAATTCTAAAGTATAAGTAAAACAGGGACACTGCACACTTTTCTATGACACACTTACAGCATTTTTTCCTGCATTCAATAGTCATCATTCTGTGTGTGTGTGTGTGTGTGTGTGTGTGTGTGTGTGTGTGTGTGAATGAGCTATGTTGGAAATCGCCATTGACTATGAGCCAACAGTACCGTTGTGTATTTTGTGCGTGATAACAACTGAAAGCAAAGGGACAAATACATTGTTGTATATTACTGATGTGTTCTGTTCATACAGTTTTATTAATATTCATTTTTATTTGAACATTCTTCTCTTTTCTGATGATTTCTATTGATTCACAAAGTTACAGAATTTATTCAAGAAAAGAAGTCGATGATGAAAAGAGATGAGTTGAAGATTTAAAATTCAAGGTGAGACCAGTTGCCCCAGCGAGGTCCCTCCAGCCAGTTAGAGGCCGGATCTCTGGCCCTCTCTCTCCTGGGCTCTGGGGACGTGCGAGTCTAGTGTTTCTTCAGGAGCCTCCAGGGAGAGACTGGACCTGGCCTCAAGGACGGTGGTCGTGTGCGTGTGCCAGCATCGCGGCTGCTGAGAGCAGAGCTCTGAGGGACACTTCCGCGGCTCACACGCTGTGTGCTTGCTCCCTGTCTCTGGGGAGGGTCTGGAGCCGGAGTCTGGAGGAGTGAACGGGATCATCCCCAACCTCAGGGTCCAGGCCCTTCCCACATCTCCATCCTCACAGGGGTGACCCCTACAGCAGGGCCCAGCAGATGGCTCATGAGCCCAGAAATGACCCCCTGGGCTTCTCTCCCAGACCGCAGCCCTGGCCATCAGACCCGAATAACGGGTCTGAGTTACCGACGGCAGCAAACGCAACAATGAACGACACAAGCGTGGACAGTGACCAGGTCTTTTTCAGTTACAAAAACACCGTCTTCCTTGTGACTGTGTTAGTGAGCCTCTGTGGGCTGGTGGGGAACGGGGTGGTCATCTGGCTGCTTGGGTTCCGCATCAGGAGGAACCCCTTCTCTGTCTACATCCTCCACTTGGCAGGTGCAGACTTCACCTTCCTCCTCTGCAAAAGCGTCAGGTTCCTCTTGGTTCTGTTAAAGAGCTTCATGGGTGTGCTCTATGTGCTCCTAAAAGCGGCCACCTTCTCTTCTTACCTGGTGGGGCTGAGTCTGCTGATGGCCGTCAGCACCGAGCGCTGTCTGTCCGTGCTCTTCCCCATCTGGTACAAATGCCGCTGCCCGGCGCAGCTCTTGGCCATCGTGTGTGCTCTGATTTGGGGACTGTCATTGTGTCCAGGGATCTTGGCTCTTTTGTGTGACCACTCTGCGGACTTCTCGTGTGACGTGATACACCTGGTCTATTACGGGATGGTCGTCCTCACATTTCTGGTGCTCTGTGTGTCCAGCCTGACTCTGCTCATCCGGGTACAGTGCTGCTCCTGGCAGAGACCGCCCGCCAAGCTCTCCAGGGTCATCCTTCTCACCGTGCTGGCCTTCCTGGTGCTCGGTCTGCCTCTCCGTGTGGGCTTACTGGTCCACAGGCTCTCACCGTCCTTCCTCCCTTCCCACCTCCTGCTGCCTGTCTTCCACCTCCTCTCCGCCCTGAACAGCGGGGTCAACCCCCTCATTTACTTCTTCATTGGAAGCCAGAGGCAACAGCAGGGCCGGAAACTGCTCAGACAGGCGCTCCAGAGCGCGTTCACGGAGGATACGGAGCTGAGCAGAGGAGAGTCGCTGCCCCGGACCAAACATGATGTCCACCTGAGCCCCGGGAGTAGGCGGCTCTGCTGGGATATCAAGATCTGACTCTGCACAGAGGGCCACCACCCTGGATCTACAGCTTTTAAACGCCAGCATAGCCACCCCATCTCTTGCACGAATTCATTATGAGAAATAAACGTGTTTGGGTTGATAGGGCTCCAAACTGGGCACTGAGATTTATACGCAGGCTCCTCTCGGGTCTATTTTCTCCACCTTGTATGTTCCTCCTGGAAGCCTTCCTCTCCTAGTTTTGTTTATCCAGACTTTCTATGGCCCTCTGCCCCTAGGAGAGGTTGGGCACGAGGCCCATATGCAAGGATGTCATTGCCCGGCAGGAATCCATCTGGCTGTTCCTTTGGCTGATCCCGACCATCCCCGCGTCTCTGATCTGCCCTCCTGTGAGTCTTGCCCCTGGAGCGTGGCCTACAGGGCGCGCGCTGCCCAGCCCCTCCCCCAGCGCCCGCCTGGACAGTGCAGCCTCGGTGTCCTTTGCGGTAACCGTCACCTGTTTGAGGGGCCTGGTGCTCAAGGTCCTGAGACCCACGTCTCACCAACCTGCCCCTTTGTCCTGATTTCCTACGTGTGTTCCAAGTGTGCAAACACTGACGAAGTGGCGCCCGGGGCTGTTTCCTTTACACGGAGCGTCTCCTTACAGTCCGGCCTTTATTTCTAACTTTCTTCTGATTTCATCGTCCTCCTCCTCACGGCTGTATTTTTAAAAGGTAAAATTCCTACTTATCCTTCAATAACCACTTTTATTTCATCATAAGAATGGAGTATTTCATTTACCTGCTCCAGGAAGAAAGTAAAATCTCTCCCTGTGGGGTGTGTGTGTGTGTGTGTGTATGTGTACATACACAGCGTAGGAAAGGTATCATTTTCTTGTTTTTTTCCTTTTTTGTTTTTCATGAGGAGAATCGGCCCTGTGCTAACATCTGCCAATCCTCCTCTTTTTTTGCTGAGGAAGACTGGCCCTGGGCTAACATCCATGCCCATCTTCCTCTACTTTATATGGGATCCCACCACAGCATGGCTTGACAAGCAGTGCATCCATATGCGCCCGGGATCCGAACTGGCGAACCTTGGGCCGCCGCAGCGGAGCGCACACACTTAACCGATTGCACCACTGGGCCGGCCTCTCTTTTTTTTTTTCTTTTGAATAGACTTTTATTTACTTTTTTTTTTGTGAGGAATATCAGCCCTGAGCTAACACCCATGCCAATCCTCCTCTTTCTGCTGAGGAAGACCGGCTCTGAGCTAACATCTATTGCCAATCCTCCTCCTTTTTTCCCCCAAAGCCCCAGTAGATAGTTGCATGGCATAGTTGCACATCCTTCTAGTTGCTCTATGTGGGATGCCACCTCAGCATGGCCGGACAAGCGGTGCGTCGGTGCGTGCCCGGGATCCGAACCCGGGCTGCCAGTATCGGAGTGCAAGCAGTTAACCGCTAAGCCACGGGGCCAGCCCTGAATAGACTGTATTTTTTAGAGCAATTGTAGCTTCACAGAAAAATTGAGCAGAAAATACAGAGAGTTTCCACATACCCTCTGTCCTCACACAGGCACAGCCTCCCTCACTATCAACATCCCCCATCAGAGTGGTATATTCACTACAATTGATGATTTTACACTGACACATCATCACTCTTGGTGTTGTTTCTTTTTTAATTTTTGATTGCGATAACATTGGTTTATAACATTGTATAAATTTCAGGTGTGCACCATTATACTTCTCTCTCTGCATAGATTACATCATGTTCACCACCCAAATACTAATTACAATCCATCACCCCACACGCGTGCCTAACCACTCCTTTCACCCTCCTTCCTCCCTCTTTCCCTCTGGTAACCACCTATCCAATCTCTGTCTCTGTGTGCTTGTTTCTAACTTACGGTACTAAGTGTAAAGGTGATATGAGGACTGCAGTCAGACTGCCTGTGTTCCCTTCAAACCCCAGACACCTGTGTTAGGTGGTGACTTGGAGGACGTACGTAATCTCTCTAATCCTTAAAATTCCACATCAATAAAGTGCTCTAAATAAGAGTCACTGCCCCACAGAGTTGCTCTGAGTATTAAAGGCATCAACCGCCTTAAAACACATAAAACTTTGTAAATGGCATGAAATGTTTTTGCTGGTGGTGATCACAATTCTGTCATCTTTGTCACAGTTGATGAGAAGTGAGTCTACGCATGAATGCTACAGAGTGATCGCTGGTGTCCCTGAGACCGGGTCCAACAGCAGAAGTGTATTAAATATACAATAAATAAAAGAGTGGACTAGAATTAATTAATTCTCACTGGACCCTATTTTTAGCCCCATGATCCCTGGGAGGATGGATTCCCCTGCGTGTCCCCGAGGGCCTGACAGGGAGCCCCTGAGGGCGGAGTTGTTGGAGGGAACAGTGAGCAAATGATGGGGGAGGGAAGGCGGCACAGACTCTTCCCAGCTGCTCCCTGGTCCCAAACCTCGGAGGCCACGTGAACCTCAGCCTGACCCTCCCTCACACGGGCACCGACGCTGAGTGAATGTGGGGTTCTGCGAGAACCAGCGATCAGAAATCAGTTGTGGGTCCTGCAGGTGAGCGGTCCTCCGCTCTGCCAGCACACGTGGGCCCCATCACTTGTACTGACAAATAGAACGAAGAGGGGATGAGACTGACGACATACGGCATTTCCAAAGTTAAGAAAAAACATCATTTGTCAGAAGGAACACTATCATAGAAAGAGAAACTACTCTAGATGTGTGGAAAGTTCCAGAATGGGCCCACCATCAACTTACGCACATAAGCACAGGGAAGGAGGTCATCTTTTGGGCGCCCATGCCAAGGCTCTCCCGTGCTTCCAGTGCCCCCCCCAAACCTTAGGCCTGTCTTGGATATTTCAGGGGAGTGCAGCACTCCTGGAAGGAATAAGGTTTATGTTTCCATCGTGCATAAAATCAGGGTGTTATCAAGTAGACCAGAGAGACAATTAAAACGTCTGCAGACGGCCTGTGATGACCGGGAATGGACAAGGAGGAGGATGCAGGGAATAACGCGTGATTCACCCGTCAGTTCTGCTCCCCGAGTACATGCGCCCAGATGCTTATGATGGGAGAGGTGAGCATGTTTCCAGGAACACAGGGAATATAACTGGTTTATATTTATGGGATGAAAATACTTGATAAATCAACAAGAGGAGAAACATGGGGGGAAAAGAAATGTATAAACTCCTTCGAGCAAAGAGCCGGCTCTTAGGTCTGAACCCGCACCACAGTCTCCTTGTTTGTGCATTTTGTCCTCACGTCTCACAACTGATGTGCTCATCATCGCTCCCAGGACCACATACGATGCTGACATTGCTGTCAAATAATTATGTCCTGGTTTGCCCTTCCTGAATCCTAAACCAGAAAAGCCATAGAACACTTAGGAAAAATTGGGAAGACACTCCACTAGATCTAAGATTCTCATAGAGCTACATGATTTTGACAGTATTTTATTGGTCCAAAGACAGACAATGAACTGAGTATAATATATTCATTCTGCCCAAAACAGTTAGTGAATCACTCACATGAGCACACTTCATTTATCCTAAAGGCAGCACTGCAGAGAAATGTGGAAGGCCATACTCTCAAAGAGGACTTGCCGAACAGTTGACATTTCTAGAGGAATTGTAGGTTTAAAAGTGCGAGATAAAACAACAGAATATGCTATGAAAGAAAATCTTTGTGATTGTGCCACAGAGCTATTCTTAAACAAAAAGCACAGAGAATAGAGGTAGAAATTGATAAATTAGGCTATATTAGAATTAAGAAATTCTATACTTATAAAATAAAACAGAAAAAAGTCAAGCCTCAGAATATTGGGAGAATATTTGGCGATGCATGTAACCAACAAAAGGCTATTAAGCTAAGATAATAAAATTTCAAAAACCTAGAAATTTATGTTACTTAAGTCAGTCAATAACAAGTAAGATAATTGTTCAGGCATTTAGAAATATAAAATTCATCAAAACTGACAAGATGAAAAATAGAAAATGTAACTATTCCTATATCAATTTTAAAATTGAATATGTTATTTAAAGTCTCACTAAAAAGCCCAAATACTTTCACTGTTGATGTCTTCCAATCCTTTTGGGAAGAAATAATACCAATGGTACAAAATCTTCCAGGGATCAAAAAAAGAAGGAATTCATCCAAATGTATTTTCTAAGCCCAGGCTTGATGCTCAAACCTGGCAATGACCCCACAGACAGGAAACCTGCAGACCAATCTCTCTAATGAACGTTGGAGCAAAGAAAGGCTGCAAACACTGGAAACTAAACAACCCACTTCTACATAATCCACAGGTCAGAAAGGAGTCTTCCGAGAGCTGATGGAACCCCACATCTGAGTCCTGAGACATCATTGCACACACAGAGCCGGCATCCACATCGGAGGGAGGAGCATGGTGCGTTCCAGGTGGATGGGCAGATCTCACAGACTGTGTTCCTGAGAGGTGACAGTGCAGCTGAAAGTGTGGGACACAGAAACCCACTACAGTGCCTTGCCTGGAGCAGGGAGACACTCTTTTTGGAGAGTGCTGCGGACTCAATGTTTGTGTCCCCCCAAATTCATCTGTGGAAGCCCTAATGTGAGGGCATTAGATGGTGGGGGCTTTGGGGATGATGAGGTCATCAGAGCGGAGTCCCCACGACAGGATTAGTGTCCTTACAGGAAGAGGAAGGGAGCTGCCCTCTCTGTCTCTCTGCCCTGTTATGACACGGGAAGGCGTGAGACAGTGAGAAGACAGTGAGAAGGTGGCCATCTGTAAACCAAAACGAGAGCCCTTACCACGCCCCTGGCTGTGCTGACCCCTGATCTCAGACCTCCAGCCTCCCGATGGCGAGTATTCAAGGTCTGCTGTTCAAGCTGCCTGTCTGTGGTATTTCCTTACAGCATAGTGAGCGGACCAGGACTGAGGCCTCACAGGGCCAGGTGCTGTCTGAGGAGGGGAGGGGAGGACCACGTCGCTGGCTTCTCTGTGCACGAATTATACTGGGGCGCCCCTCGGGGGCTTCCTGCTGCA